GGCTTGCCCATCAGGTCCCCCACACCAGCTGTGGGAGAACAGCCCGGGACACCTGGACGCAAAAAAAAAAAAGGCATCATTTCAGAGCAGTGCTGTATCTTTGAAACTTATTCCCCCCCAAAAGTGGTCTGGGCAGAATGCGAAGGGCGCCCGGCTGCCTCCATGGGTAGGTAGAGCATGGCACTCTTAATCTCTAGGCAGTGAGTTCAAGTACCATGTCGGAAGGAGACCTTAGTTTAAAAAAAAAAAAAAAAATGATAACGAGTTTAAAAGCATCTGGACAAATACAGAAGGTGAAATAAACCTTTGCTTCGATGATGGGATCCGTGTATACAGCAGGCCCTCGCTCTGAAGCCCCGCTGGTCCAGAACCCTGGAAAACAGGGCCCTGGAGGCAGGGTTCACACACCCGGGATATAGTGGAGTCGGTGTGAGGCTTTACCGCGCCGCAGGCTCAAGTGTGAGTCAGACCACCCCATTTCTGGTGAGCCAATAATGTCATGTCCTGACCTGGAAGCCCTCGCAACCACACGCCCAAGAGGCACCCACAGGCGGCCTGCCGTTCAGGGCTGTCAGTTTCTCTAATATCCGCGTCGCGGGAAACGCCGGCCAGCGAAGCCGTTTAGCGAGGAGGGCAATGTGGCCACAGGCCTGAGTGCAGATTTGACCAGGAGCTCCCAAACTGCAACGTCACGCTGCAGTGTGACCACAGACTTACTGCTTTCAGACTTTCTACGATCGGTAATTTCTTCCACTCGCCAAATGATTTGTTACTGCTGCCTGTGGAGGTCCCTGGTGCTGGGGAAGGGGCCGCCACGCAGAGGCAGGAGACAAGGTCCTCGAGACTCAGAACGCTGGAGAAGGTATACGCAGAGGGGAAAGAACACGAAATTTTGTGGCAGGCCGTGACCCAAAGATAGCTTTGGCGATCTCCCACGTGCACCCTTGCAATGTGACCTTAACGCTCCCCCCGTCCCCCAGAATGAAGTCCACTTCTCCTCTCCTTGAACCTGAGCCAGCCTATGGCCTGATTTGACCAACAGACACAAAAACGACCCTCTGTAACAGACCTTAAGAGTTTCTACCTTCATTGCTTGGAACAGTGTCTCTTGACAGCCAGATACAAGGGCCATCACGCTGTGAGGACATCCCAGCTACCCAGTGGAGAGAACCATCGCGTGGAGACCGGCCATGTGAGTGATGCCTTCTAGGACCTTCCGGCCCAGCCCAGCCATGAAGCCCAATGAGTGAGCCAGTCAACATGAGAACGGCCTGGCCAAGACCTGCCCGGCTTCCTGGCCCACGAATCCTGAGGCAATGAAATAGATATTGTTTTATGCCCCCGAGTGTTAAGGCAGTTCATTAAGCAGCAAGAGATTTCTGAAACGAACTTGAAGCCAGCAAACTAGGGCAGAGTCCTGGCTCTGTTCATATCTAGCCAGGAGACCCTGGGTCAGTGACTTCCAGTGTGCTGCAACTTCCTCGTGTGTCAAATGAGAAGCTTGTAGCAGGTGAGCTAAAGAGCTATCCAGTGGTGACAACGGGCGAGGCCATCGTGCTCTGTCCACAGAGGGGCAACTACCTCAGCATCAGAAGAAACTATGGACCAGGAGACAAAAGTACTGGACGATTAACAGAGGGGGAGCTAGAGAGCCCATAGTAGGTGCTCACTAAACCTCAGCTATAATCATACTCTCTCAGCGGTTCTGTGACTATAGACAAGTTAATCCCTCTGCTGCCGAATTTTTGCATTTGAGAAATGGAGATAAAACTCATGTTTCTGTTTCTACATGAAGAAAACTCTTTGCACGGGAAAGTCCCACGCAAATCAAAAATCACCTACAAGTGGAAGGCATGACTATGTTACTAATACTTGTATTATCCTTTGCACCAAAGCCATCAGCAGTCTCCTCCTCACCCAGCAAGGGGAGACAGTCAGGAAATGGCACCGGCCACCAGGAAGGCACCCCGGGAAAGGGAGAGGCAGGCACAGAAGGGCCATACAAGTGTTCGAGCCGAGTGAGATTTTTACCACCCGCCCACCAGCGAGGATGAGTGGGCGAGGCACCCATGTGGAAGACGCAGAGCAGGTGACCCGTCGGGAGCAGCTACAGTCCACGGGGACCTCTGGGAACAGCCCAGCATTAAAGTTTAAGTAATTTCCTACATCGGAGTCCGCAAGGCCGGCAGCCTGAGGGTGCCCCACCAGTGAGCCGTGAATCAGACCACTGCCCTGCACAGAGTGAACACTCCATAAAAATGATTAAATAAGCACTGGGGAGTCTGAAGTCAAAGTTCCCAGGATGGAATGCTGGCTTTGCCACCCACAGCTGTGTGCTGAGCCTTGCTCCTCACTCATAAAACCTGAGGAGACCCACCTCTAGGGAAGGGGTAAGACCTACACGAACTGCTCCAGGTGAAAAACATCGAGGATTCCGCTTAATAATGAAAGGCACGACGCTGTTTCCAAGGGCACAGACCCTCTGCCTCCCAGATGCCCTTCAACCCCAGCCGCCACCTTTCAAATCTCTGCAGAACTCTGAAAATGAGCGGCATCCATCCAAACAGTCACTTCGCCCAGTGTTGATTCTGAAAAGCTGCCAGCCCTTGGGACAGAAAGACATGGGCTCATTTTCCAAGGGTATCTGACAAGGCAGCAAGAAGACATTTCCATTTTCCAGCCTGTGCTTTTCCAAAACAAGAGACGAATGTGGTGTGAGTTTAACCCCGAAATCCCAGGGACCGTGCAGATAGATACACAGACACTGCTCGGGCGGAAAGTGGAAGCCAGCCAGTCCGCTTGCCCAGGGGACAGAAAAGCTTCTGCTTCTCCTTCTACTCAGGTCTAGACTGGTGGGGTCTGACTGTACTGGTGTCGGGCGTCAGTTACAAAGGGCTGGGAGTTTGGACCCAGTCCTGAGCCCTGCCCTTCCTCCTCCACCTTGCAGAACTCACAGCAGAGCTCCTTGGTCCCCTAGGTGTCAGGGCTTGGGAACACCGCCTGGACCAACCCTGGCTCCTCCTCCACTAATCAAGCACCCCTGTGCGTGAACCCAGGGAAGTTACTAGAGGCGTGACATCATGCAGCCCCCAGGCGTTCGCTTGGAAAAGAAACTGCATCCTGGGAAAGTAAAGGTAAGATCCAGCAAGCTGGAGGCCAGCCTCAAGCCCCAGGTTTCTCCAAGCCTGGTCCCAGTCACTTGCAATGCTCCTTAAAGGTACACAGTGCCAGCCTCGCCCCCCCCCCAAATCTATCAGATTAGACTTGGGAGGGGGTGGCAAGAATCAGACTTTTCAGTACCCTCACCTGGTGAGTCTTATGCATATCAGGTTCTGACACCCACTTGGGACCAAAAGCAGAGACTGAGAAAAGAATAAAAAGGTATTTATTTATTTAAAGAAGAAAAAGGTTTGAAAACGCTGTAATTCTGATCCCTGTTCTTGCCCTCGTTTCCGTGCGGCACAGGTGAGCCACGCAGGACGAAGCCAATCCCCGTTTCGGTACATCCCGGAAAACCGAATTATGACCGTGATGAAAATTTCATACCTTAAAAATGGAAAGCTTGCTCACCAAAGCAACAGGCCTGGGCAAAAATTAACCCGAACATCCCATCTTAGACCAACCGGGTCTATTCCGAGAGAAGCAAGATAAGATCTTGGCTACGGCTCCCGCTGGTCCCAGCCATACCCAGTCCTCCCACAGCAGGATTTGGCGTGGGTGGGGGTTAGGGGACAGGGGGTGTCCCCGTGCTAGCAAATCTGGTCGGGAGAAGGTTATTCAGGGGGATTTAAAAAAACAAAGGTTAAGATTCACCAAGTCCCACCTCTCCGTGAGAAGGAAAAAAATCTAAAGGTAACGGACTGCATTGGGCACATATCAGACACTGGAAAGATGTTTCCCAAACCGAAGGAAAGAAGCCACCTGACAGTCCTCCTTGCCTGAAATAATGCCCTGAAGCCACGAAGGACAAAAAGGGAACGAAGAGTAAAACTGTCTCCACATCCAAAGTACTGCCTTTTCAAAACCGGCAGAAACCTAAAGAAACAACCTACTCAGAGGGGCAGTACTTTCTGTCACTTATCGGGGACAGGCACACCGTAGGTGCTGAGAGACCCGGGATCCTCGGGGTCAGGTGGCAAGCAGGGAAAGCAGCAGCACCATCCCCAGGCGCTGGGCAGCGGGAGCCCCGGCTGGCATGGCAGACACCCCAACGCCTCGCCCCGGGAGGCGCATCCCACGCGGCCAGCCTTTCTCCAGCACCTACGGGTCCCGTCCCGACGCCTGCGCCCCGCCCCCGCCCCCAAGCACGGACCTGGTGGGGCTCGGGCCTCGGCCCCGAAAATTCCAGTCACCCCCGCGAAATTCTTCAGCAGCGGCTCCCTGCTAGCTGCTGAAACTTAACATTACGCCACGAAACTAGCAAACGGGCAGCCTTCACCCCTCCCCCCCTGCAATGACTGGCACTTGCAAAGGAGTCGTGGCACATCAAGCATTTAAGAAGTGACTGACTGCCACTTGGACCCGGTTACCTGGAATTAAAAAAAAAAAAAAAAAAACTCCTGTGTTATTTTTCTCGATCAGGAAGTAGGCATTCCCCCTGTAAAAGACCTTCCTGAGAACACCTCTCCCATGGGATCCCAGCAGGTAAATAACACCAGAGCTTCCCCAAAGCGATTCGAAAGAGCCTGGGGACCTGGCTGCGCTCCCCGCCGGCTGCTCCTCGGCGGAAGGAGGGGTGGCGAAGTGAGGCAGTCCCGGGAGGTGAGCACGGGGGCGTCTGCAGGTGGGAGGAGGGGGCGAAGCGGTGCCGCCCAAACTTCGCAGCTGCTCCGCAGCAGTTCTGGGCAGGAGCCCGCCGAATTCAGTCCCGGCAAGCGGAGCCCCCTCCCGCACACGAAGCCCCCTCCCCCCGCCGCCGGCCCGCCCAGCCAGCCCCGCGTCTGCTCGCACGCGCCCCCGCACGGGCAGCGGCCCCTCCCCCCACCCCGGGACCCCCTCACCTTGGCCTCGAAGCAGATGCCGTGCTGGAAGGCGTCTTCGTTGTGCAAGGGGATCCGCAGGTCGTGCCCATCGTCCACAAGGTTGTACTTGGTTTTGCTGGGCATGGTGACCCGCGGCGGACCGGCTCCTCCGGAGGCGGCAGCGGGAAGGGGCCGGCCAGACCGGGCAGGGGAGCGGAGGGGAGGGGCGCGCCGCGGCGGCCGCGGGAGCCGGGACCCGAGCGGCGCCGAGGGCCGGGCGGCAGCGGGCGGCGCGGCTGCGGGCGGCGCTGTGGCCGCGCGACTCCTGCGGGCGAGGAGGGCGGCGGCGGCGGGAGCGGGAGCGGGCGGGCGGGCGGCGGGCCGGGGAGGGGGCGGCGGGCGCGCGGCCCGAAGCGGGACCCGGCGCGGCGGCTGCCCCGGACGAGGAAGAAAAGGCGGCGGCGGCGGCGGCGGCGGCGGCGGAGCGGGGTGCCTGTCACGGAGACGCCGGATCGGCCGCCAGCGAGCGGCTCCTCCTGCGGGGCGGGCCCGGGCCGGCTCCTCCCGCGGGCGCCCAGGCCCCGCCCCGCGCCCGCCCCGCGCCCGCCCCGCGCCGCCCGCGCGCCGAGCAGGTGAAAGTCCCCGCGAGCGCCGCGCCGCAGCCCTGCCCGGCCCGCGGGCTGCACCCCTGCTCCCGGGCGCGCTGCGGTCTTGACGGTCACGTTCGGAGCCGGGCTGCCGGGGGTCAGACGCGGCGGCGGCAGCGCCTTGGATGTTTTGGGTTTGTTTGGGGCGGGGGTGGGGGGGTCGGGGCGGTGTTTATGGTCGTGTGTTTATGTTCTACCGGGAAGGCCCCAGTCCCGGCCCAAATATGTGCAAATCACGAATTCGGAGAGTTCCCTTTCCCAGCGGAATCAAGACGGTGCTCCCTGGGGGCCCATCGCAGGCGCTTTTTGCCCCTTTGAGCGGTGATTTCTGACTTGTGTCATGCGGGCTGGCGCGGGGGGCTGGGGGGGGTGCCTTTTGGAATACATAGCCTTCTGCATTTATATTATTAAAAAGCCATCCGTCCGTGGAAATGGGGAGGCCAAAAAAGGAACGTTAAGGACAAGAGAATCCTCAACATTTTAATTTTTTTTAATTAAACCTTCTGTAACAAGGTTAAAGACAAGATGAACGTCCAAGTTCTGTCTGTCTTTCTTCCTTTCTTTCTTTCTTTTTAACGTTTATTTGTTCTTGAGACAGAGAAAGACACACACACAGAACCAGAAGCAGGCCCCAGGCCCTGAGCTGTCAGCACAGAGCCCAATGCTGGGCTGGAACTCCTGAACAGCCAGATCATGACCTGGGCCAAAACTGAATGCTCAGTCGCTCAGTAGGCTGAGCCACCCCTCCTTCCTCCACCGCCCCCCAAGTTATTTCTTTTTTTTTTTTTAATGCTTTTTATTTATCTCTGAGAGAGAGACAGCGTGAGCAGGGGAGGGTCAGAGAGAGAGGGAGACACAGGATCTGAAGCAGGCTCCAGGCTCAGAGGGTCAGAGAGAGAGGGAGACACAGGATCTGAGGCAGGCTCCAGGCTCTGAGCTGTCAGCACAGGGCCCCACACGGGGCTCGAACCCACGGAACCATGAGATCATGACCTGAGCCGAAGTCGGATGCCTAACCTACTGAGCCACCCAGGTGCCCCCCCAAAAAAGTTATTACTGACTTCTATGCTTTCCACCGTGGCAAATACTTCAGTCAATTTGTTGTTAAGAAGAGGCCCATTTACTTTTCTCCTCTGCATCAAGAGCTTCTGCCCTGAGCAATGTGCAGATGAAAGAGCCATGGGATTATCTGTGAGGCCTCACAGGTCGAGAAAGCTAGGATTACCGTGCCTTCAAATTACCCCAGAGTCACCAAAAGCAACAGGCTGGTGCCAAAGCCGGTCCAGCCTGAGATCACTGAGCCCAAACAGTCAGCTCCTCTACACGAGAAGGAATGAAGGTTGAATTCATCATGTCAACCCTGCTTTTGATGCCGGGTGGACACATCTACCCAAGATAATTCCCAAATCAAACATCATTGATTGTTATCAAAGTTTCGAATCACCACAAAGCAACACAGTGTTGCTTGCAAAAGGCACATCTTCTGGGACGCCAGGGTGGCTCAGATGGTTAAGCTTCTGACTTCGGCTCAGGTCATGATCTCACGGTTCTTGGGTTCGAGCCCCGCGTCGGGCTCTGTGCTGACAGCCAGCTCAGAGTCTGGAGCGTGCTTCAGATCCTGTGTCTCCCTGTCTGTGCCCCTCCCCTTCTCGTGCTCTGTCTCTCTCTGTCTTTCAAAAATGAATAAATGTTTTTAAAAAATTTTTTCTCTGTCTTTCAAAAATGAATAAATGTTTTTAAAAAAAATTTTAAAGGCATATCTCCTATACCATTTCCTTGATACAATTATGTAAGAGAATGCATTACTGCCATAATTGTATTTCTCCTTTCGTCTCCTAGTGCTAAAGTACAATTGCCCTTTCCTATGTAGTGCCTCCTTCCAATGTGCTGAAATTACTGGTCAAGATACAGCGTCTTCTGGGATGTCCCTTAAATGAAGGCAAACTGATGACTACAACAAATTCATCACATACTTTATGCTGTATAGACTTTATTATAGTCATAAATATTAGTAAAAGCCAAAAATCATTTGCACTGAGGAAATGCACCACTAGCATTTTTATAAATACAGAACATGAAAGTCTAATCAGGCACGTCTGACTCTTTGAATGTCATGGTGGTTTTAATATGCATCGTAATGTGCTCTCTAGAACCTGGCATGGGAACCTGACCGCTTCAAGGCAAGACCCTAAGCAACTACCTCATTTACATCTCCTTTTCCCTCCTGAATTTAAAGTCTTTTGACTCCGAAGGGCCTTGTTTCCAGGTTCACTTGGGCCCCCTTGGCTGTTGAATTTTTGGAATTTCCTGTCTAACTCTGTAACACATTGTAGATGAGACACAAAAAAGCTGAAGCCTCAAAGATATTTTAGGGTCTAATACAATGATTACTTCACAGTAGACCTCTAGTAGTTATTTATGGAATCAAATCACCATAGCTAACGTGCATCGAGCTTTATCTATGTGTTGGGTATCGTTCTTACAACCTTACACATATTATCTCATTTAACATTTAAAACACTCCTAAGGTTCATCCCGTTTTATGAAGAAAATGAGGCACAGATAGTTTACGAACTTAGCCAAGGTCACACACTTAGAGAGGAAAGGGGCCCGAATTTGAATCCAATTCTATGTCACGAGGTGTTTCCATCATGGCCTGGATTGCCATGAAAGTCTTAGCACAAACAAGATGCATATCAAATTCAGGGTCCGTGTTTTATTTAGATGTGTATTGTTGCTAAGCTGTATTCGTTCCATTTCACTTAGAAGAACTGTTCCAGAAAGGAGAGGCCTGTTCTCTGCTGTGGCCTCCATCCATTACGTCAGAGCCACACAGGCATAAAAACACCCTTCTTCCAGAAACAATGGGCGTCCAAAGTAAATTTCCTTATTTTTTAGCAGCGATTTCAATCTTGTTTTTGCACCTTTAAATGTAATTGAATTTCCCACCGCATTTCCAAATCTATTTTTTAAATGAATCAAGTTTTATCACTTTCCATATCCTTCTGTATTTAAAACCTGCATAATACAATTTTAATCTGAAGTACATGTAATTAAAATATAAATTGCTAAAGCGTGTAACACTTGCTATGTTACATTTTATCAAACCTTTGTTTAAAAATGTTTTAAAAAATTCCTAAACCTGGGGCGCCTGGGTGGCTCCGTTGGATAGGCGTCTGACTTCGGCTCAGGTCATGATCTTGCATTTGTGAGTTTGAGCCCCGCGTTGGGCTCTGTGCTGACAGCTCAGGGCCTGGAGCCTGCTTTGGATTCCGTGTCTCCCCCACTCTCTCTGCCCTTCCCCTGCTCATGCTCTGTCTCTCAATAATAAATAAATGTTAAAAAAAAATTTTTTAATATCCTAAACCCGTTTAGAAGTGGAAGTTACTAGGAGGTCCCCTAATTCAGCTCCTCCGTAATAAAGACAAAAAAACTTAAACCCAAGGAGATTAAGTAGTTTGCCTCGTCCTCCTTGTAAACTAGGGCTCCTACTTCAATAATCTTTTTATCACACGATAATGGCTTATAAGTAAATTGACAGCAAACTTTAACACATATTTGGAACTGAGAAAATTAATTTGCTTTAGGTCATAAAATACCTGCTTTACAATACGCTTCCTGTGCATTGTCTTACGTGGCCATAGGAGATACGTATGGTCAGTATACCCATTTTACATATGAGGAAACTGAGGCTGAGAGAAGGAAGTGCAGGCTATAGAGCAATAGGTCCTGGGAATCCTTCTGTGAATTTAACCAACAAAGAATGAAGATTATATCAGCTGGCCCAATACTGCTCAGGTACACACCTGAACAGAATTCATAAAATCTTTGCATAAATAATATCAAATATTAAGAACACAAAATGATTTTCTCCTATTAGATTAACACTTAGCTCCAAAAAGTTGACATTTTTTGTGCCGTTGTTTTCAACCTGACAATGTCTCCTGGGGCATAGCGTGCTAGAAACCATTTGCCCCCCCCCCCTACCACCCACCCCCGCTTTTTTTCCCTCAGTAGGCAAGGAAGGTTTTATTCAAGGCTATTGCAGTAAGGGAGAGAACTTCGAACTCACAGAAATCTACTGAAACAAAGGACTGGAGAGTTGGCTTTCTGTTGTGACTTTGTTTGGTTTTTTGTTTTTGTTTTTACTTTATAGAATAGTGAATTTATTCCTGGCAAATAACAAATGAAAGTTTCACATAAAGAGCTTGCAAAGCTCCCTAGGGTGGGCCTGTAATGTATACATGACAAAATAATCTTGGCATAAGATTGTCGAGCTGGAAAAACCATTATAGATCCTTGAAGTCTCTGATTCGATAGCGGAGAAACAGAAGCCTAGATTGCCAAAGATCTTGGACTGAATAGCAAAGGCAGAACGAGAAACCTGGTTTAAAAAAAAAAACACCTGGGCCAGTGTTCTCTCCATCACACTGTGCTGTCTATCACCTGCACATCAGCCCATTTCAAGCTGGATTTTTTTAAGTTTATTAATTTTGAGAGAGACAGAGACACTGCAAGTGGAGGAGCGGCAGAGAGAGAGGGAGAGAGAGAATCCCAAGCAGGCTTGAGGCGGGACTCAAACTCATGAACCCATGAG